GGTTGCTAGATGGTTGCTAAGGTGTTGCTAGGTGGTTGCTAGGGCGTTCTGAGAGGTTGCTAAGGTGTTGCTAGGCGGTTGCTAGGTCGTTCTGAGTGGTTGCTAGGTGGTTGCTAAGGTGCTGCTAGGCGGTTGCTAGGGTGTTCTAAGTGGTTGCTAGATGGTTGCTAAGGCATTGCTAGGCGGTTGCTAGGGTGTCCTAAGTGGTTGCTAGGTGGTTGCTAAGGTGTTGCTAGGCGGTTGCTAGGGTGTCCTGAGTGGTTGCTAGGTGGTTGCTAGGGTGTTCTGAGTGGTTGCTAAGGTGTTGCTAGGCGGTTGCTAAGGTGTTCTGAGAGGTTGCTAAGGTGTTGCTAGGCGGTTGCTAGGTCGTTCTCAGTGGTTGCTAAGGTGTTGCTAAGGTGTTGCTAGGCGGTTGCTAGGGTGTTCTCAGTGGTTGCTAAGGTGTTGCTAGGCGGTTGCTAGGGTGTTCTGATTGGTTGCTAAGTGGTTGCTAAGGTGTTGCTAGGCGGTTGCTAGGTCGTTCTGAGTGGTTGCTAGGTGGTTGCTAAGGTGTTGCTAGGCGGTTGCTAGGGTGTTCTAAGTGGTTGCTAGATGGTTGCTAAGGCATTGCTAGGCGGTTGCTAGGGTGTCCTAAGTGGTTGCTAGGTGGTTGCTAAGGTGTTGCTAGGTGGTTGCTAGGGTGTTCTGAGTGGTTGCTAGGTGGTTGCTAAGGTGTTTCTAGGCGGTTGCTAAGGTGTTCTGAGAGGTTGCTAAGGTGTTGCTAGGCGGTTGCTAGGTCGTTCTCAGTGGTTGCTAGGTGGTTGCTAAGGTGTTGCTAGGCGGTTGCTAGGTCGTTCTGAGTGGTTGCTAGGTGGTTGCTAAGGTGCTGCTAGGCGGTTGCTAGGGTGTTCTAAGTGGTTGCTAGATGGTTGCTAAGGCATTGCTAGGCGGTTGCTAGGGTGTCCTAAGTGGTTGCTAAGGTGTTGCTAGGCGGTTGCTAGGGTGTCCTGAGTGGTTGCTAGGTGGTTGATAAGGTGTTGCTAGGTGGTTGCTAGGGTGTTTTGAGTGGTTGCTAAGGTGTTGCTAGGCGGTTGCTAAGGTGTTCTGAGAGGTTGCTAAGGTGTTGCTAGGCGGTTGCTAGGTCGTTCTCAGTGGTTGCTAGGTGGTTGCTAAGGTGTTGCTAGGCGGTTGCTAGGGTGTTCTGATTGGTTGCTAAGGTGTTGCTAGGCGGTTGCTAGGGTGTTCTGAGTGGTTGCTAAGTGGTTGCTAAGGTGTTGCTAGGCGGTTGCTAGGTCGTTCTGATTGGTCGCTAGGCCCTTACTAAGACGTTACTATGCGGTTGCTAGGTGGTTGCTAGGCGGTTGCTAGGGTAATTTGAGTGGTTGCTAGGCAGTTGCTAGGGTACCCTGGGTGGTTACCAGGCAAGCCTCACATACATGCCTGATGAAATAATTATACTTAGTAAGCATTTCTAGCAAGTTACAGTACTTGGCTAGTCAATATTAGCATGTAGCTAGTCACTGCTGGCATGTGTAGCATATAGGAAGTTCAGTTTGCTAGCATGAGTCAAACGAGCCAATCCCCAAGTCCCTACAATGTTCTGATGCCGAGATATAGCTGTTGATGAATGGTTGCTAGGGTACTCTCTTTTGTTGCTATGGGCGAGGTTACAAAGTGAACTTGAAAGTGGTTGGCTGCCTAAGTCAAATGAACCAACCCCCATGTCTCTGTGACACTGCTATGCAAAGATGTGCATCTAGGCATATTTTAATGGAAGTTTATGGAATCAATTTGGGGGCGTGGCTTGTGAGCTTCATTATCATATTAAGTAGCTCATTGGTTGTCTGAGTCAGATGAGCCATCCCCCAAGCCAATAGGACACTGCTAGGCAAAGATATGCATTTAGGGCAGTTACTGTGGCAGTCTATGGGACCAGTTTGGGGGCGTGGCTTGTGAGCTTCATTATCATATTGAGATGCTCATTGGTTGTCCTAGTCAGATGAGCCAACCCCCAAGTCAATAGGACACTGCTAAGCAAAGATATGCATGTAGACAAGTTACAATGGCAGTCTATGGGACCAGTTTGGGGGCGTGGCTTGTGAGCTTCATTATCATATTGAAAAGCTCATTGGTTGTCTGAGTCCAATGAGCCAACCCCTAAGTCTATAGGAGACTGTTATGCATATAATATATAATATATAATATATATGTTAAGATATGCATGTAGACCAGTTAAAATGGCAGTGAATGGAACACTTATTTAGGGTATTTAAATTGATTTGTGGGCGTGGCTTAAGAGCTTCATTATCATATTGAAAAGCTGATTGGTTGTCTGTGTCAAATGAGCCTTCCCCCAAGTCTGTATGACACTGCTATTAAAAGATATGCATCTAGCCTTATTATAATAGAAGTCTTTGGGACCAATTTGGGGGCGTGGCTTGTGAGCTTCATTATCATAAAGTGATCCTGATTGGTTGCCTGAGTCAAATGAGCCATCCCCCATGTCTCTATGACACTCCTATGTAATGTTATAGATGTGTGACCTTTATAATGGAAGTCAACGGGATGTGCAATGGGACGTCCCACCCCATGTTAAGCCAATGGGGCAGTTATTAAGGGTCTTTCAGTGGTTTGGGGGGCGTGGCTTGTTAGCTCAAATATCATAATGAGATGCTGATTGGTTGCCTGAGACAAATAAGCCAACCCCCAAGTCAGTATGACAATGCTATGTACTGTGATTGACATATGACATTTATAATGGGAGTCAATGTAATGAATGGGAGTCAACGGGCAATGTAAAGTCAATGGGGACCACTTTGGGACATCCTAGCACCCCCGGGGAACAACCTATACCCCCTTTCGGGGTATGTTCTCACTTAGGCTGCAACCCCCTACAGATGTTGTGAATCCCATATTTCTATGAAATTCACAATGGACGCAGTGATTGGTTAAAGTTCGGCTCCATGTAAAGTCAATGGAGACTTTGGGACGTCCTAGCTCCCCAGGGGTACAACATTTACCCCCTTTCGGGGTTGTGGTTTGAAGCCTCCTATAACCCTCTCGAGATGTCGCGAATCCCATGTCTCTACGAATTTCACTGTTGGCGCTATGGCGATTTCCGGGAATAGTATCTTACTAGTGTCTAGAAAATAAATGGGAGTCAATGGGCCCATGTAAGTCAATGGGGACCACTTTGGGACGTCCTAGAGCCCCAGGGGTGCAACTTATACCCCCTTGCATGTTCTCACTTAGGCCCCGTTTACACTAATGCGTTTTAGTTTGAAAACGCATAAGTTTTGCTACGGTTACGCCATCCGTCCACACTACGCCGGAGTTCTCGAGCGCCGAAAACGGAGCGTTTCGAAAACGCTGGAGAGGCCGTTTTCATTCTAAAACGCTGCTGCTCCGTCTCAGTGTGGATGGGGAAAGACGCAGACATCTGACAACGGAGGCGGGGCTGCAGACATTCGCCTCTCTGATAGGGGCTTTTCCTCAATATTAAGTAGTCCACACACAGTTCAGTCCCGCATCTTCTCCGTGTAAGTTCAGACTTCGCAAGTTTGATCAAGGCTGCATCTCTTCTTCTCAGTTTGATATGGAAAACATACCGAGGACACGCGTCAATCTTCACAGGGAACAGTGTACTTTATAACTTCATTCACATTACCCTGGCTACGTTATTTCACTTTCTCAACAATAAAATGTAAACTTGATATAAGAAACTGCCTATTTTTATTTTAATATTAACAAACAGACAGCAGAAATGTTGAGGCGTCGTGCTGCATGAGCGTCATCTTCACTGTGTGGATATTTATAACAAAACGGAGCCGATAACAGCTGCCTCCTTTCAATTTCAGTGAAAATACGAAACATACACTCTCTTTTGCTGAATACCAGTTTTAATAATCGATAATGGCCATTATAAAAGTATAACATACAATAAGTTTATACATTACAGGAAATAAAGGCAAGCGATCAGTCAATATACAGAATGTAGGCTACGTGGTTTAATCATTAACTTATCTTTGCGCTCAGCCAAAACACGTTACCTGAGAACAAGTAATAGATTCCAGTGACCAAAGTCAGGGAATATGTCGTTAGATAAAGACAACAAGATGAATGAAATCTCACTAATAAATATAGTGAGATTAGATCCAGCGGGAGATGCTTGATGAGAAGTCCGACTAGCAGAGCTCTCATCTGGGTAGATGGGCTCCAGCGATTGCCAAAGAGTGTGTGTGTGGTCACGTGATGTGCGTTTTCAGCGTTTTGGTGTGGACGGAGAGCAGTTCAGAAACGCTGGGTAAAACGCGAGTGTGGACGCGGATCGTTTTCATTCTAAAACGCCGTTTTAAAACTAAAACGCACTAGTGTAAACGGGGCCTTAGGCTGCAACCTCCTACAGATCATGTGCATCCCATATTTCTAGGAAATTCACACTCGGCGCTGATGTAAATCATCAAAGTTCGGCTCAATGTTAAGTCTATAGGATTTGGGGGGGGGGGGGGGGGTGTTGCGGGGCCAAAAAAACCCCCACCCCTTATAAAAGTCATAGCACACCATTCGCGATAAGACCGCACGATTTGAGCCCACTATCAAGGGTCTGGGACGAAAGCTGCGGGACTAGTTACGCGCCGAAAAATGGGACGGAAGAATCTGTTAACACTAATATGGCAAAACATGTGCTTTTAACTTCTGAGTTTACTAAACATTATTAACTACCGCGAGTGTTGAAAAAAATAAATTTACAGGCGTGTACTTATCCAAAATTATTATGTGATTGTGTAATTAAAACTGAATCGTTTTGGTACAATATTATTGTTTAACTTGTTAATGCAGTGCATCACAAAAAGTGATCGAAACTCGACACTGTTTACTATTCTCTTTAAATTATCTAAGAGAAATATTAGTGTGTGCTTTAATTCATATGTGTTAGGTGAATCAATTATATCTTCTGTTCAAACTGTAATTTGCGCATGTAAAACTGAAAGCAGATTTTGATGTTTTTTTTTGTTTGGTTATCGACAGTTATAAATTCTGATTTGAATGAATAGGTAACAATATTTTTTCGGTTAATTCGGTTAAGTCTTATTATTCTTGTTTAACAAAGGTTCGTGAGGTCATTTTGCAGCACATCACAGAGACAAAAGATGTCAATGGCACACTTTTATGAACATGTGAATAGGCATGTTATAGTTGGGTGCTTAAAGTCCGTTAAAAACTGTAAACTGCTGATACATTTTCAACATACTTGAGCTTTTCAGACTTTACTATTTGCTTCACAAACGGCAGAAATGGTTTATTGTTATTAGCTATCATCATCATCAAACATTTTCCACAATGGTAGGTTAACAGTGTTTAGTAACTTACAACTATCTGATCCAAAAGGTTTCTTATTTTAAAGAAATATGACTGATTGACTTAATCTGCTTTCCTATTGGTTTCTTAAACTGGTTTGTCCATAGTGTCACAAAGTGATTAAAACATTTACTGTTATTGGCTTTCATCTGACTCAAAGTAAATCAAAAGCATCTGTATTCATCCAGTAATGTCTAGGTTTTAAATAGAATTTTGGTCTTGTGCTAATTGGGTATACTATATTTCAGGCTTTTTCTGAATAGTCATTATTAATGTTTATATTGATTTTAGTGAAGATAAACATTTGTATAAAATGTTGTATGTTTGTTTGTTTGACAGTCCACAACAAGATCCTTGAGCAAGATCAAACACGCTTGGCACAGAAGAGGTCAGTATATGCAAGTCATGGCTGAAATCATGCATGTGCTTAGCCATCTTACAAATCTGTGTCTAAGATTCATAAGGCTGTCACTCTGCATGAATTTCTGAATAAATCTTGTGCAACCTTCAGAGTGCTGATTATTTATAGTATAGGTATTATAGCCATTAATTATCTTCGATAGTATTTCAGAATTTTAACTTTTCTTAGGGGGAGATTAACAACAATGTGATGTTTTATTATAGAAACATCCAAAAGCCACTGTGATATCTGACTGGCATACAGATGAGGACGATGATTGCCCGTCATACAGCTAAAGAAACAAACAGGTTTGTTTGCAATTATTTTAGACATATACTGTCAACATTATTTCATAGATCTATTACAACCTGCGGGTTTGGCCCTGGCACTAAACTAAAATTATGTTTTGTTTTGTAAATGTATCTGATCATGGTACATAAGGCACAACTATACTGACAGTGATGAAGAAAAATTATTTAAAAAAAGGAGGCTCGGGAAAAAAAAAAAAAAAAAAGCAGATATGAAGATTTCAGGAATCGATGCAGCACCGCAAGTACCATCATCACCAGAATTCTTAAGACGACCATCAAGATGCACAGATCCTGAACATTCCAGTATGGCTATGAACATTTACAGTCCTTGTTCCAGTGCAGTTGGAGATCAAGACAGAACTTGTTGCAAATCGTCATGTCTTTGTAAGAATTGAAGACATCAGTAAATTTGTTAAGGTTTAATGCAGCTAGAAAGTAAAGATCAACTAGAGAATATCAGCCGTATCTAACCCTCTGTTGTATTTACACAAGTTGTATGAGAATAAGCTACAGGTTGATTTATACTGATTCCTTATTTTTCTTTTTTAGCACGACTGACTGAAGTTTTAAAATCATGCAATGTCATAAAGCAGCAGCTGGGCCTGATTCTCACAGCAAAACCAAAACAGACGTGATGAAATTCCAGATGTAAACACATTTGACCTTCCTTTGTCCAATTTGATATGGAAAAGCTTGAAAATTAACTAAAGGAGCAGCCGGAACAAATGAAGAAGCTGGTAAGTTCAAGCTCTTGCTTATTTCAAAGTGTTTTAAGTTTATTTGTTTTATTTATTTATTTGTTTATTTTTTATTTTTTTGCTTTGTAGGTAGCCTACTTTGGAATCATTGGTGTTTTCCATTAAGGAAGCAGTTTGGTGTATCCTGGGAAAACTTTTGACTAACTCCTTGTCTAAACAAATGAACTGGAGCGGGGCAAACCAAAATGTGGCCTTTCGTGCACTCCCCCTTAGGACTGTCTAGTCAGTAAGTTGGTTTTAAATATACATTTCAATACAATTAGGGGCTGTTCCATCTCTGTATTTCTTTGAATCATAAACCAGAGGAACAAAAAAAAAATCTATATATAGTCCCATTTAGGTTGTACTTATGTGAGCAAGCATGTTTCCTTTTTCTTTTCTTTTTTTTGTACTTGTTCACTACTAATTATCTGTTTATCTTTTAATCACAGATGCAGTGAGGACAAATGTCCATACCACACCACTGATAAAGAAGTGGAAAATGCATTACAAGGTGGCTACAACTTCCTTCCCTGTCAGGAGCAAGGAAGAAGAGAGCTCAATATACACACACACAAACACACACACACACACACACACACACACACACACACACACACACACACACACACACACACACACACACATTATATATATATATATATATATATATATATATATATATATATATATATATATATATATATATTAAGGGTGGAGCCGAACCCGAATACGGTATTCGGAAAGGCACGAACAGCGTGTTTTTACGAATACTTGATTCGAACAAATACTTGAAAAATTATTTGTATTCGGGAGCAAGAAAAACACTACATCAAAAAGCAGCGTTTCCTCATGAGACCACAGTGCATGCCCGCGTGAGTGAGTGAGTGAGTGAGTGAGTGAGAGAGAGAGAGAGAGAGAGAGACAAAACGCGCCAAAGCCCGAAACTGAAAGCGAGACGTGACTTTTAAGGGGTTGTTTCATATGGATTTTTTAATCATTCTTACTGTTCAGTGATCGCAAACTGCCGTAGTTTATTAAAGACGCAAACTCCTCACAGCACGTCAGCTGCGCGCCTTCAGCAGATCTCATCATTCCTGCAGCACGAGAGCTTTATGATTGTTTATGCGCGCCAAAAGTGGCGGATCTGTCCTGTAAAATATCTGACTGCGTGTCACCGCATCCCTAAGGACTGTTTGGCGAAATATTTGACTGCATGTCACTGCATAACAAATGACTGAAAGGATATAACTAGAGAAATCTCCACTGTGCTACTGGGTGAGAGCGTGTGGCAAGCCGTTTTAGCATTTAAACCTTGTTCAGACTATCCATAAATATATTTAGACATATCTCTAATTATATTTTGACTTGTCATAATTATAATTCGACTAGTCAGATTGGAAATATCTGCAAATATATTATGATAGACTAGTCATATTCCTCCATTGACTTCCATTGAAAAATATTTGCAGATATCTCTAAATAAGTTTTGACTAGTCACAATTGTAATTAGAGATATCTCCAAATGAATTTTGACTAGTCAAAAATCCAATTCAAGATATCTACAACTGTAATTAGACTTTTAGTAAATTAATTAGAGATATCTTCAAATATATTTGTAAATATCTCTAAATATGATGAATTAAAGACATCTCTAAATGTATTATGACTAGTAAAAACTCAGAGATATCAATTACAATTGTTACTACAAAATTCATCTGATTTCGTACTAGAACAATTGTAATTGCAGATATGTCTAATTGTCATTCTGAGTAGTGGAATTATAATTATGACTAGTCAAAATATAATTAGAGATATCTCTAATATATTTATGGAGTCAGAACAAAGATTTAAATGCTAAAAAGGCTTGCCATAGAGAGCGCTTCTCACTGAACAGAGCACCGCGCAACCTTCTATGTAATGTATTATCACATGCACTAAAAGCATCCTCTCCTGATACTGCCTGTGAACCCCCAACAAGCATCTATCCCCTCAATCAGCACAGCTATGTTCTGCTAAATCCTCCACAAGCACCAAACCATCAACACAGCCACATTCTGCCCCAGCAAGTCAGTTTCAAACATAAAAAAAAAAAAAAAAACAAACAAACAAACACAACTTTGTGTCTTTTTTTGTGGCTGGCAGATGATAATAGCAGGGCTGTATCTTTTAGTATTATATAGAATACTTTTGTTCTGCCAGATCTCCCAGGCAGGGTTTTATTTAGATTTATTTAGTTAATTTTAGTTTTTGGAATTCTGTCCATTGGAAAGAAGTTCTTTCAGAAGAAGAACAGTTTTTTGAAGTATTATTTGTTTTTATTCTGTCTATTCAGTGTCCTTCAACAAGAACGGTGGTGGTGGGGTTCATAATATTCACAATGGTATTTTATTAGTTGTTGGTTTAACCATGGATGAGGTAATGGCTTCTATGTTATTTTCTTTTCAATGACATTTCTTATCACATGTTCAAAAACAACAACCAATATTGCATATCTATAATTTATATAATGGGTATAATTAAACAATACTTTCACTATAACGTAAATTAGAAGTGTAATAGAAAAAAATATATATTTTTCCGCCATTTTGAATTTTACTCGAATACAAATACAAATACAAATACAAATACTTTTCCCCCCTCAACAAATACAAATACAAATACCGGCTGCTCCGCACATCCCTAATATATATATATATATATATATATATATATATATATATATATATATATATATATATATATATATATATATATATATAAATATAAAATTCTCACTCATGTCTTGCTGTTTGTGCAATTTATTCTGGTCAAGTTTATTTAAAAAATTAAGTTAAGGTCTTAATACTTCTGCAATTTTACATTTATATATTTCTTTATTGTTATTATTATTTTAATGTTTTATTTAAAAAAAATGTTTCAAGATGTTTCTTCAGAATTCAACAGCTCTTTTGACTTGTATATTTTATGTATTATCAGGTATTTGTAAGATGTTTCTTGCTATATCTTAAATTGGTTTCTATATTCATGTTTCTATAAAATTTAGCTGTTTTAAGATGTGTCTTGTACAATTTTTTTAATTCAGGTCTATTGGGAAAATAGTGTTGTTTTAAAAACTTGTGTGTGTGTGTGCACTGTGCTGTTTTAGTGTTCTTTGAATCTTCCTGTGTGTCTTAATTGTGTAGTTTTATTGTTTTATATTGATGTTCTTGTGCACTACAAAATAATTTATTCAATTTTAGTATTATTTGTTTCTTGCAATCAATAAACGTTTATCATTTATTTATTTTTTCCTTTGATTATTTTTGTCATAGGATATATATGCTGTTTGCATTTTATTTAAAGGTTAAATGCAGTGCCTACACTTTGTGTTTACATTATAGCCTGCGTTTGCTGCTACAACTCAAAGGGTTGTAATATAAAAGTATCCGGGTCGCAGCGCACATTACTCTTGGGCCGATTCCGGCGCGGATGCGGCAGCGTCGGCTCGCTTACGGCCGCTGCATCTGGCCCGATTGATTCGGGCCGGAATCGGGCAGTGAGTCCACAGGCGTCCGGCAGCCGGATTCGGGTAGGTGCTATCTGGGTAGGTGGATATAGTTTTTGTTGACTGGTTAGTCACAAAAAATATATATAAACAGGATGTGAAGCAGTCAGGGAACTTGTCCACATAATTGTTTTTGCACTGCAGAAATGTGAGCTGAACGCTAGCAGCATAGCCAGATGCTGAGTCTGTGTTTTACACTCAGTGTTGAGCACGCAGTTCACTAGTGTTGGGGTACTCGAACTTGGACTCGGACTCGAGTCCAGTTTTCATTGGACTTGGACTTGTCACAGACTTGGGGAAACTTTTACTCGGACTTGACTCGGACTTGGACATTTTGGACTCGGAAAATATCATCTTTCAATGAAAAGTGAAAGTACCGTCAACACAGCGATCTCAAATGCGATAGCAAGAGCTGTTCAACAGAATTGTGCTTTCGCTTTAATTTGGCTTGAAAGCACGTTAAAATGAATATAAAAATGTCTGCATTCACTTCCATTAAAGATGTGCGTCGATCATCACATTTCTGAATCAATAGCTTATGCATGCTGACTGACGGACGCGTTCCGTATAATAAAATCATCCCAGATCCCAGATCAGCTTCTGCTTTTGAGGATAGGGTTAGGAGAGTATAAATATTGTGTAAAATTACAGTAATTAAATGATGGAATAGCAAAAATGATGTAATAATGTTGCTTGGAGTTGCATATTATATTAAGTAAATATAAGCACAAATGAATTTAATGTAGAGTTATATTCAAATCCAGACAGCATTCAGAATGGATAATCAGTGGACTAAGTCCACAAATTTAAGCAATAATTTAATCTTTTTAAAAATAGAATGAGGTTTGACTTTGAATTTGTGTAAAAATTAATATTCAGGTAATATTTTGATGAGAGACATTGGAGAGATTGAGTGTGCCTGTGTCCACAATGTGAGTCTTCTGTGTGAGAATAAACATTACTGATTGTGAGCAGCAGTATATTCTCTACATGTTAAATATGCAAGAGAGAATCTGATAATGACACATTTCTGATTCTATTTATATGTAGTCAATGACAGAGTGCAAGAATATGTGTATTGCACAATTAATCATCTTAATTGTTTCATTTTAAAATGATTCAGAATTATGCATAGTTGTCTTTTGAACTGAGGACCATGACCTATATCCTCAAAAGCCCCCCACCCTCCATTTATTTATTTATATATATATATATATATATATATATATATATATATATATATATATATATATATATATATATATATATATATATATATATATTAGGGATGTAACGGTATCAGAATTTCACGGTACGGTAATACCTCGGAATGAATGTCACGGCACGGTATTTATTGAATCATTTACAGGAAAAAACAAAACTTATGAAAATACTCCAAAAAAGTGCCAAAAGTGTCAATGACAAACAAATTAGCCATCTATCTGTAAGCTTTGAAACAGGAACTTCAATTTTAATAACAAAAAATTATTAAACCATGTAAAAGTATTAGTATTGTTGTATACTAATAGTATACTAGTATTGTTGAAAACTCATCACATTCAACATTTAATCACTCACTCACTCACTTAGATGGGTTTTAAGGAAAATTATCATATAAATATAATCTGGTAAAAGCTGGTATCTCTGGGCATTTACAATGTCTCCTGCAACAGAAAAATCCCCTCTCATTTGGGACTGAGGTTTCAGGGACAACAGAAATATGACTTGGCCCAGGTTGACAGCAGTGGGTAACGTTGTGCATTGTCTTTCCCCCACTTGAGAGGACAAGCCATGAGTGAGATAGAGGTCTCATGTCCGCATCAATCTGAACAGTGTGCTGTGTTTCTGCAGTCCCCATGACTATTATTAGTCGTATTCCCCAGCTTGCAGGCATGTGCACGCATAGGGCTCAACCTGTGCAGTGCACATGCCCTTTTTAGTCTTGGATAGAAAGTGCCCTTCCAAAATGATCAAAACGCGACACACACTCCGTCCCACCCTTCAGTAGGCGCACGACAA